TGCAATATTGAATTAATTGTCGTAGGCAGGCAGTCCCTTACATGCGTTGTTGTTGACATGTTGGAAATTTTGATTCTGCGTGCGCATAACAGTTTTAGAGTTATTCAAACGCGTCGTGCAGCTTTTCTATGTTTTACTATGCGCACGCGTCGTGCAGAATGTTGCAATTACGTTATTCGAACGCACTTTTTCCCTGATCACACTCCGACTCGAACCCAAACCTCCTAAACAAACTCTGGGGGCCAATCTTCTTGAATCAGCCTGTTTGCCTATCAACCCCCCTTGTTCCACTGGGCGTTTGAATTCCGCGCGCGCACATAACATATTTATTATTTGTATTTTCCTGTTGAAGCTGCCAGCTCTTCAAAAGCACTTCCAGTTGAGAGTGACCCAAGCTTTTTAGAGGATACATCTAGTGATACTACTCATGACCACAAACAAGGTAGATCTTACAATTAACCTTATTTTTCCAGTTTGCAATTAAAAAATGCATACCCCTTCCCTCACTCCTAGTTCTCCCCTCTAGTGAACTCTGTAAGCAATATATTTTAATAAGTTTGTTATATTCATATTGGTTTTGTTACATTCCAGTAGCTCCCACCATGGAGCTTTCAGCACTGCTGGTCTGAATACGAGCCAACCTTTATTCTCGTCACAAGAAATCAGAGACCTCTCTATAAACGGTAATTATATTCACTATGTTATCAGATAAACAAATGTTTTTTAAAAATATTTTCTATTCTCTTTTGCTTACTTAGAAGTAACATCTATATTTTTAGGAATGTCTACTAGTAATGCTTTCTTTTTCTAGTTGCTGTTGAAGATGCCTCCGGTTCTAAAGCACTGCCTGGTGAGAGTGAACCAAGCTTAGTAGATGACACATCTAGTGATACTACTCATGGTCACGAACAAGGTAGATCTCAGAGTTAACTATTTTTCTAAATTGCAATTTACAAATGCATACCCCTCCCCCCTTCCCAAGCCCTCCCCTGTAGTGACCCTGTAAGTAAAATAATCTAATCATTTTGTTTTATTTTTATTATAGCTGCTGATGTTCCTGGTCTAAGCAATATACTTTCATCATTCGAATTTTATGTTCAGGATCTTGATGGTAGGTTACATTTGATCCTTTTATATTTTTTTCACGGAAAATTTCATGATCTAATTTAAATTTTCTTTGCAGTTGACAGTTTAAGTGAAGCACCAAATGCTTTTGATGATTGTGCAAGCCAACCTCTTTTTACCTCACAAGAAAAAAGAGATCTCTCTTCAGAGGGTAAGTAATGTCAACAGTTATGCTATGCGTGATGTCAACAATTTGTATTCATTTTTACTTTACCACCTTTTTTTTTTTTTTTCAGAGCTGAAATGTTGTTTTTATGATGGTACAGAAATGTGCTCTGAGAGGCCATACAAGGAGTTTAAGAATTTATCTAAACAAGAAAAAGTAGCTCTCATTTGGGCTTCTGGGAAATGGAGTTCTTCTGAAATTTCAACCATATGTGCTCTTCATTTTAATCACTACATCGTGATTTTAATCAATTCTTGGGGGATGTTATGCCGAATGAAAATGATCTGAAGAAAGAACATAGAAAAAAATGTTGCGAGCCTATACAGCACTTCAAGGAATACTTGAACCCAAGCACACTGCGGGAAGTTAGTTTGGTATATGCACTGAAAGCCAGGGAACGAGGAGTCGTCATAAGAGCAAAACAATTTCTTTGTGACAATTGTCGTAAGGCTATTGATAAAAGTGACTGCCTTTCAACATCTAAGGAAGACAATTTAGAACTCACTCCAAATGAAGCAAAAGCACCCCAGGTCTGCTCTCAAGACAACTTACTTTCACCAAAATCAGAGGCAAAAGTAAATCTGTCGCAGTTAAGAGTGCCCTCTCAAGATGAAAAGAAAACCGTATCAAAGAAAGGAAGAATTCAAGAGGCACTACGTAAATTGAATGCACATTCTGATGTGATTATGAAAGACATTTGTTTAATTTATGATTTAAACCCAGAAGACTTACTAATGGTCAAAAGTATGCTGAGAAGTACAACAATTTGCTACTTGAAATTAAGGAAAGACTCTTGAAATGCAACTCACGGCAGAAAATTCTGTTGCTCACTATATGCCCTTCTCAATGGTCAGAAGCATATGCATCTACATTCTTCAATGTCAGTCAATATTTTATTATCAAAGGAAGAAAGCTAAAGGCAGAGTGGGGTATATTTCCTGAGCTGCAGCCATACACAAGAAAAAAAATAGATGATGCTGAAAAAGAATTGGTGAAGAGCGCTTTTATCAAAGCAATGATATATCAAGAATGATGCCTGGTAAGAGGAATTGTAAATCTATTGGATTTAAAATTTATGAACAAAAAAGGCTGGTTCTTTTAAATTTGAATGAAGCTTATGAATTATTTAGATTAAAGCATCCGTTCACAAAAATTGGACGGTTTCTATTTTGTTTACTGAGACCTGTTTGGTGTGTGCTGGCTGACTCTTCTGGCACACATAATGTCTGTGTGTGTCAAATAAACAAAAACTTAATTTTATTACCAGCTGCACTTCCAATTAATGATAATTTTAGGGACATTATTGATGAGCTTGTCTGTGAGAAAGGTAAAAGAGAATGCCATCTCAAAATCTATGCAAAGTGCCCAGGACAATCTGAAATTGTAAACGTTTTGACAGAAAAAATTATCAAGCAAGAGCTAACTGGTGACATTGAAGAGGAAGCAGAATACCAAGAGGAAGTCCGAAATTTAATGGAAGCTTCAGTGAATTACCAACAGTGGACATCTACAGAGCTGAGCTGACTTCACTGAGTGCACCAATGTATGATGTAATTAAAATTACTGCAAAAGCCTTTGACAAGGTTATTGTCCAAGATTTTATTGCACAGAAACAGGCAAATCATTTTAAGGACCAGAAAGAAAATATGCCTACAACAAAATGCATAGTTCAAATGGACTTTAGTATGAACTACTCGACTGTTATTCAAGATGCCGTTCCAGCCCAGCATTGGTCAAAAGAACAGGCGTCTCTTCACCCGGCTTTGATTAATTACAAAGATGAAAACAATGCTCGTCATCACAAAAGTTTCTGCTTTATTTCTGGGGACGTGAACCATGATGTAGGTTTTGTCTATTTAACTCAGAGGAAGGTCACAAGCTACATAAAAACCAATCTTCCCTGGGTTACAGATGGATGCGCAAAGCAATATAAAAATAAAAATACCTTTTTAAATTTGTGCCGACATGAGGAGCTCTTTGGATTGAAAGCTACGTTTAGTTTTTTTGCTACAAGTCATGGGAAGTCGGCATGTGATGGTATTGGAGGTGTGGTAAAAAGAGATGCATGGAAAGCAAGCCTCCAGCGCCCCATCAATGACCAGATTATTGGAGCAGAAAAGCTATTTCAATTCTGTAAAAGCAAACCATCAAAAATAGAATACCAATATTTCACCAAAGAAGAACTTTCTGCAGCAAGAATCGAGCTTGATACATTTGGAATAACACCATCAACAGTGCCAGCGACAAGGAGTTTTCATCACTTCACACCTCTGCCAGGTACGGACTATTCAAAATTAATTTGAGACATAAGGCAACACTATCAAAATAGCCAATCTAGTATAAACTATATCAAGTTTTTTAACCTGTTTCATTTTTTTGTAGGCTTTACCGTTGCATGCAAGAGATTCAGTTCTGATCAAGAGTATGCATTAGGGCATAGACTAAGCTACCAGAGAACAGGAGACATACCCTTTCAGGAGGGTCAGTTTGCACTTCTTGTGATCAACTCGTCCTACTATTTTGGACTGATATCAGACATAAACACATCAGAAGACGAAGCAGATGTCTCCCTCCTGACTCCTCATCCACCAAGTGCTATATACACATGGCCAGAAGAGCTACTCACTGGCAGTGTCCCTTTGCCTCACATTATTTGTGCTGTGAATTTAATAGAGCTTTCAGACAATTGATACAAACTATGTGATGAAGAAGAGGAAAAAATTAACTTGTTGACTCAGGCAAAAACAGGAGAAACGTAACACTATCACAAAATAATAATTTGTTCAAATCAATGTTTGATCATTTAATATCTACATCCAAGACAAGGGCAGAGGAAAAGGAAGCTGAACTTGACAGGCAACAACCAGCTCAGCAGGCGTGCTGATGTGGTGGCCTACCCTGACTCTGTAAGGGGAGTCTCGGCAATGCGGGTTTGCCTAGCCTGGAGTCTGCAGGCGGAAGGTGACGGGCGGACAAGTAGAGGCCTCCCACTGCGCGCCGCGGCGCCACCGCGGGTCGCGAGCCCCGCGACGGCCGCGAGCCGCACCCTCGCGGCCTGTGCGGGGGCGCCCCTTCGTGTGGCCTTAGGCATCGTCCAAAGTATATCCGTTTTCCTTAAATTAATTCGGCAAATTAGGGGAGCTCGGCGCCTGCGAGACTCAAGGTAGGCCACCCTGCAGTACACGCTTGCACTGCAGACTAGATGGTGTCTACCTACCAGGCGCTACGAGAGCTTGCTGGGGCTGAACTCGGCAGCTTCGCGACAGCCGAGGCGCGGCCACAAGCCACTGATATCCCCCCCCCCCCCCCCCAAAATGAAACAGAAAGAATTTAATTTCTCTTTTTTAAATTTTGTTTTTTGACGATTTTTACATTTTTGAGCACGCCAAACCGTTAAAAGAACCAAAATAATGGCCTACTTTTTATGTTAAAGAGAGGCTTGAGTAGTTACAGAAACTACTCCGATACGTCCCGATAGTGTTTCAGACTATTCCGAATAAGTGGGGCCGAAAGGCTGGGAAACACCTTGGTTTTATCGAAATCGACGATTTCGTGGTTTTCGTTGGGCTGTGGCGTCAAAGTTAGGGCCATACCCGCAATACTTGGCAGAGGGTAGAGCAGTATATATTATATATTCAAATAGATATAGGCAGTATGTGTGGGTGGGCGAGGGTAAAATAGAAGAGACTGCTTTAGAGAACAAGTTTAATGCTCCAAAGCCAAACCAGAAGTGACAGGTACAAGTGAGGGCAACAAACAAGGAAAGGCTGACTGCTGTGGGGCGCACTCTGCCGGGGATAGAACTATCAGAGTAGCACACATCTTTCCTTTTTGAAAGATAAGATAGCTAAGTCAATACAAAATTAAATAAGCAACCCTATGGATTGCGGCCTTTTGCCTAGAAAACGACTTAACATTGCTAGAAGTTTAGGAATCCCGTAAAATGAAGCAAGTTAATTAACAAGGCAATAAAGTCTAATCTTGGCCTTTGATATTAACATTGCTACACGGCTATCAACGAGTTATTAGATTAACAATAACAAGCCTAGCTAAATCAAATACGAAGGCAGAGCGCAATTAGCAAAATGGCAATAACAAAGGAATAGGCCTTCACTGAAAGTTTGAGCCCAACTGGCTAAAAATCCACATCAAGACAAACAAAACTAGAGAAAATTGCCTCTGAAGTAATGACACAGTACTGAACATAGAGAAAATTAATAAATAAATTCTAGAAAAGTGCATAGCTCATAATTTAAATTGGATGATATACGTTTGTGCATATTATTTAAATGCGCAGAAGAAAGAAGTGGAACTGTTAAGTTCGTTATGCCATAGGAGAGGTAAACCACATGGAATTTACACAAGACCCCACATTCACAACCACTAAACATGCAACAAACTAAAAAATAAATTCAAAAACTACAACCAAAAAATGAGGTGATCATGCTCAAAGATGTACAAAGAAGGGGAGTCAGTCAAGAAGAGCAAGTCAAGAGAGAGATTGATATGCGACAAACGTATTACCAAGTGAATGAACACCTTAATGCTACACTCAAAGATAAGGACAGATTTGTATGCAAACACTTTGACTATACTTAAATGCTGAATGTTTGCGAAGTATAAGGTCAACAATAAATTGCGTGTCTTGAAATTTGGAGGTGGAAGGATCCCATTCGGTGGCAGAGCAGAGCATTGAAATAACCTGAGGGGGTAGATAATCGTTACTTCGTAAAACATATTTAAGTAGATAATAAATTCAAAGAAAATTAAAAATATGGAAGATATCTAAACCTAGTGAAGACAGTTGCTTACCTTTCCTGGTTATTCTTGGAGACAGCGAAGCAGAGTTAGAAGCAGGAGGCAATGTCGGATGCCGGGGTATAGAGTCCTGCAGGTCTTGTGAGTACCAGGGTTGAGATGTCTTCGCTGGCCACAGTGAATTCCTGTTGACGGGGGGTGGAACTGGAACTGGCCTCGAACTGTGGAAAAGCAAGTGGAGATTAACCAGTGATGTCAAATTGATGCCAGTGACAAATTTCTGTCCTTTGGAGCGTCAGAAATTACAGTACATGAAGTGCATTGAAGAGTAAAGTGTGTTCATATCTAGATATATTGAAGGTATTACCTTACTATTGCAGCCAATGCATCCAAAGTGTGGCGGGTTCCAGATAATTTCGCACCAAATTTTTGGAGTTGTGGGAGCTGTCAGCCTGCAGCATGGTCACCAAGAAAGAACCTGAGGGAATAGGTAGATGTTATGAAAAGGAGAACATTTGACAAAAAATCTTAAATTGAAAATAAATTAAACATGGAAAATATGTCTCAGGCTGGTAAAAACAGTTGCTTACCTTTCCTCATTACTCTGAGACAGCAAAGCAGAGTTAGAAGCAAAGTCCAATATCAGGTTGGAGAGTCCTGGAGATTCTGCAGGGCTTGGAGTCGAGATACCTTAGTTGACCGAAGTGGGTTGATGCATGGTGACGGGGTTGGAACTGGAACTGGCCTGGAACTGTGGAAAAGCAAGTGGAGATTAATCAGTGACGTCAAATAGATGTCACAACAAATTTGTCCTATACCCACCATATGGTGGGTCAGAAATTACTGTACATGAAGTAAATTGAAAAGAGTAGAGTGAATCTTCATATTTGAATATATTGAAGGTATTAATTACCTGACACTCTTATGCAGTCAAAGGAATCCATAAAGTGGCGGGTTTCAGAGAATTAGATACCAAATTCTGTTCAGGCTGCGAGTTTGTGGAATCTGAGGCATCGTCACCAAGAAACAACCTGAGCAGGGGATAGGTAGATATTAGAAATCAAAACATTTTACAGTAAGTCGTAAATGCACATTATCATAAATTTGGAAGATATCTCAGCCCCGGCCCAGGCGAAACACTTTCTTACCTTTCCCGATTACTCTGGTAGACTTGCGAAGCTGAGTTGATAGCAGACACCTATGTCGGGGTGTGGAGTCCAACAGTGTCCTGGAATCGAGATGTGGTCGCCGACCGCAGTGAATTCCTGCTGACTGGGGTGGAACTGGAACTGGAGAAGCAAGTGGAGAAACGAGCATATCTGAACATCTCCAAATAATTGAATAACGTTCTACTGGAGCTGAAACGTTGGCGGGAGGATGTCCCGCGGAGGCCCCGCTGGGGCGTGGGGCCGGCGGTTGCAGCAGCTGACGAGTGCAGGCGTGCCTCACGGTTACTCTGCAACAGGGACGAAACTTGATTAGAATCATTCCAACATAATATCCAATAACAAATGAGAGCTTCCGCTTACTTGTAGACGACCACGAAGACACGGGAGCGGCCCTCCGCGGCGAAGCCGTGGTGACCTGGTGGTGACGCACTGCTTGGCTCTCCCGGGGTGGAGTCCAGGCGGCTGAGGTCTCGACGGCCGGGGCAGCTGCGTGGAAGTGAAACAGAGAACACGGTATTAGACACTGGTTCCTACGTGCGGTTGCAATAAGCGATCAGTTTGCCCTCGTGATCCCTCGGTCACAATGTAATAAATAGACCCGCACAGCTAGCTGCGGCCGACACAATGCCCTGGTCGCTGCGACTCGGCGCCGGTCCCACGGGGGG